TTGCTGACCTTCTGTTAGATAGAGTTTTCATTTAAGAATATCGGGAATAGGGTGCAGGGCGGGATTTGGTTTCCAGTAACCTCACTCATATAGAGAAACACAATGCTGTAGTTGATTTACGGCCGTTTTTCTATGAAGCCATGGTATCACTTCGGCCGAACTGGCCTAATCCTACCGAAGCATGGTTCCGTCTAACTTTAATGTTTTGTTTGTTTCATTGAATGTATATTAATTTGAAGTAAAATAAAACAACACAGAGATTATTCATAAAATTGTTGTTTATCTGCACTCAATGTGATTGCAATGTTATCTATCCCACTCATGTTATGACAACAAGCAAAATCATTGAACTTTTAATATCTCTATTGATTTGTTTTTAATAAACTCTTCTATCAGTTGCAGTGGAAATATTTATATGAATTTGTTGTCAAAACATTGTATAAGTTTATATGTACTAGAACTGTCATTTTGTCGGTAATTAGTAAAGCAATTTAATCGATACTAATTGTGACTAATTTGGAGGTTTCTTTGTGATTTCCGAGTGTTTGAGGTTCTCTCTAATCCAAATATTCTAAATCAGATTTTATTCTACAGATCTAAATGTCATGTGCATTCCCTTGAGACATATGGCAAATTTTAAGAGCAACATTTTCTAAAATTCTTAGAGCAAGATTTTTATTTTGTGTAGCACACCCCGTGTTGAGGAAATACGTCGTATAAGTTTCGTTTCCTTTTCGAATCGCCAAATCAAAGAACAAAGTAGCTATCTTAAAGACTGTTCCTAAATACTTTTATCCGATAAACTTCGTTCCATCTTCGATTCCTTTGACTGATACAAAACGAGGATTATTTTGGACTACGAAAGTACACAATCATTCTCTGGAGATTACTTGTTACTGGAGACGTATTGGTTTATTCCATAAAACGAATATATTCAGAAAATAAAAAGGTATTTTATGAGCCAAAGTAATAACTGTTCTCAAGCAGTTGTGTACTTTTATACAGAGATTTCTAGAGATTACAGCATAATATTGTGAGATATTAGGTAATCTTGTACTGGTAGTTATGTAGTTAGATTAGGTTAGGTTACAGTGAAGCTCATTCAACTAATCGAATACGGTAAAAAAAACCTTCAAATTTATGTTATTGGAATAGATTCCTCAAAAATGAAAGCGAACTTAATACGAATGAATGTTGCTTCTAAAATGCTTTTACACTCACTTGTTATCAAAATCAAATAAGAGATATTTCATCGAAAAAATATATTTGATCGTAAAGTTTTAAAAGTTACAAAAAATGATCTAAAAAATATTAAGAAAAATATAGGTGGATATAAAAAGTAATGAATAATACAATTTGTTCAAGCTTTTACTTTTGATATTAAATAAAATGAAGTTGTATTTATATTTTACTTCAAATATATATATTTAATAAATAGTACTTACAACTCTGAGCTCTGGAAGTGGCACTTTATATTCGCTGAAGCTGAAGCTATAATTTAACAATTTAGTTCGCTTCAGCCATAAAGTATAGACACCGGTGGTTGCAGGGTAAACGCAATAAGGCACCGTGGCCTCGGCCTAAAACAGAAGAAGGAACGGGCTTGTTTTTTAATCAGTAAGAGTCTGACACTCCGAACTGCCACACACTGGACGGGAGAAGTCATTTGATGATTTTCCCCAAACAAAAAAAAAAGGTATAGACATAGGAAAACTTGCATGCTCTGGCAGGCTATGAAGGACCTCCTTAGAAGTAATCTGTGTTTAGAATATGAGATTCCAATTTTCCACCCAAAAAATCCAAATATATCCCTGAATCCCTAAAAATCAGAAATGCTATATATAATATAAATATAGATATGAATTGACGGTTAATTAGAATCGAGTTCAAATTTATGACCCTGTGCTTAGTATTCGTGCTTCTGACTAGTAGATCAAAGCCAACGTTCTGGGCACTATTCACGGAAACGCGGTGCATCGACGTACGTTGCTCATATTATATTTGTACATACATATTTGCCCAAGTAATGACGCGACCTGCTGCTACGATCTACGACTCAACGCGCAACAAGCCACGTTCTTTTTATGCAATAGGTCGGCTAACGAGCAGACGGATTACCTGATGTAAGCAATCATCGCCGCCCATGGACACTCGCAACGGAGGAGTTACGAATGCGTTGCCGACCTTTTAGGGATTAGGGATTTGGAGATTGAGGAGGGATCGGTGAAGGGGAAGGATTGGGCCTCCAGTAACCTCACTCACACGGCGAAACACAACACGTCTTCATAAATGAGGCATTACTAACCAAACCAATTCTAAGCCGCCTACACGTACCCAATTTATTTTCTGAATCCAATTATTGTCTCCAATATTACTTTTTAATCTGGAAAGACGTATACGTAAAACTACTATTTGTATTTACTTAGAACAATGGAAACAAATTAAAACATAGGTCACGTCCTTTGAAGTAACGCTGCGTCTGCACGTTGCAATACCGTTTAAGTAAACAACTATCATTGTTTTAGCGAGATAGAATTGTAAAGGTGTACCTACATGATATGTAGGTTAGAATTGTATTCGGTTACATAGAGTCTACAGAACATAACCTCCGAAGAACTGTAGATAGATCTATAGATGCTTACTTTATTGTGTAACTAGAAAAGACTTTTCATGTAAGGAGGTAAAATAACACTATGGCGGCCTCGTCGCTAAAAGCGACATCTATCAGGCAACCTAGGTTGCCTGATTAACTGATTTACTTAGCTTGGTTTATAGAGGTGTTTATATATGTGTATGCAGCCTTATATTTTAATATGAGTACAGATATGATAATCTGTATCCACGCTCTATTTACATTCATGGTGATTTTGAATGTGTGCGTAACTGCTCCTTATGTCAATTTGTTTCCTAATAAAGTTCCAATACAGACCTTGTTGGGTAAAACTCTGAGTAGTCAATAATCAACCTTATCCACATAAGAACAAACCTATTTATATAAAGGAAATATTGAACTTATAGCTATACTGTATTGCGCAATTCAAAAGAGTATTGAAAAACGCTATGAAGGTTTTACATTCCATAAGTATACATTTCCTTTACTTTTCAAATATTAAAAGGCGTAACGGTATATTGAGTTAACAATATCAAGAGCAAAAACTTCAATCAAGAGAAAAATAATCGTCAATCATCCGAGAGGCTCTTATTTACAACGGAATTTGTTGAATAAATTATATAATTATCTAAGAAAAACTTGATTCAGGAATAATAATTATTATTCCTGAATCAAGTTTTTCTTAGAAAAGTGGTATTTAAAAGAGTCTTCATAGATCATGTCAACTGGAAGATTTATAAGGAGCTCATTAATTGGCCTTATTTTGAATAAAATATGGAAATATTTTTCATGATAATTTAAGTGAATTATGTCTATAGAAGGCAGAATGTCTTTTGGGAAGATTTTAAACGTCCAATTTGAATTCTTGTTAAGAGGAAACAATTGTTATATTTAGATGTTACAAAGGCTTTTCAGTATGTTTATAAGCTTGGCATAATTTAAGAGTGCTTCAAACAATACAATGAATACAGATTTTGATTATTACTTGAGATCTAAACAGCTTTTTTATAACTTTATTATTTTGTTAGGAAAACATTCTAGTTTATCAATTTATACGAAAAACATAAAACTGTAGAGTTTGTTTGTTTGAACGCGCTAAATTCCACAACTAGTTGTTCGGAATGAACAATTTTGTTTTGTTTGCAAGTCGGTTTATCGAGGAAGGCTACCTATAACATATCACGCTACGTTTCTGTAAGACCAGAGACCAGAGAGGCCAAACCGCAGGAGAGAAGCTAGTTTATTATAAAAATAATCTGTCCCTTTAACATCTACGTTTGTTTGTTATAAATTAAATTAAAGTGTGCTCTCATTTTCGAGAGGCCTTCAACTTTAGGAACGATAGTGCGGTAAATAAATAGATTCCAATAACGTCGGCGACGTAGTTACTAGTCTAAATGATGAGGGACTCTGGTTATCCGGGTGTAATTAGTCAACGATTGTCGTTTACCATCTGTTTGGCTATAAGCTTCGATGATACCATTAGTGTTGTTTTATCATTAAACTATGGTTTCTTATTTGATCCCAACTTATCGTTAGGCAAATGGGAAAATACATTCTAGGTGTACTCATCTTCATATATCATGTCAATTGGATAATAAAATTATCTATCAGTCTGTTCGTTAGTAAAATATGTTTTACTAATGAACAGACAATCTCCATAATAATAAATCAATTATTCTCCATGTTTTGACGTTTCAAATGTACCTGTTATTGGTTTAGTTGGAATAAATCATCATCAGCCGAATATTGATTTTAACTTTCACTTAATTGAAATTAAAATCTGTTTTAATAGCAAACATAAAATTAAAAATACTGTATTCTCAATTTCAAAATTCATTTTTAGTCAATGCCTATACAAAACCTTCTTATTAAAAGACTGCTATCATATTCTTCTAGCAAAGTCCTACATTCAGTTTGTTTATGCGACTTCTGCCTTCCTTTACGACATTTTCATAGAAAAGTATAGGAGCGGCATTGAGCTCCGGTGAACTACTGGGGTTACCGAGAACACATATAATTATGTATTGCGATGATGAATGAAAAGCTAAGTTTACTCTAGTGAGGTCGAAGTACGGATGATTGTTTGACAGAGAAGTTTGTCCGACATATTGTCATTGTTTTTTTACGTCGCGTACGATTTCTTCGAAGGACATTGTCAGGCAACGGTAATAGTACATTTAAGATATTTTTTAATGTAAATAAATAGTACTTTACAGAATATTGCTTTTACTATACTCGACGTGGAGGTCCGAGATCATGGCTTAATAAGTCAAGTTGATTACAGAGCGCTGCATTTAGGCCTTAATTTAAAGTATAAATGCTTAGTCAACTTTTACGAGAGTCACGGAAAGAAAAAAGAAAGTATATATCTAAGTGTCGGAGAGCCATGCGCCTGGCTCGAACGGGCAGGCTCAATCAGAGTGAAACCACGGCCTCACAGAAAACCGGCGTGAAGCAACACTTATGTTGTGTTTTGCCGTGTGAGTGAGTTTACCGGAAGCCCAATCCTTCCCTCCCCATCTCAATCATCAAATGTCCTATCCTTAAATCTCTAATAACCAGAAGAGGCCAGCAACGCTCGAGTAGTTACCTATTTTTTTGGTATTACGAGTGCTCATGGGTGGTGATTGCTTACTCTCAGTTAATCTGTTTGCTCGTTTGTCGCCCTATGACATAAAGCCTAAAAATGAATTACAAATTAATAACTATAAAGGATACTTGACAATATTTTTAAACACTGAAAATATTTTATCTTTCATTCCAAGTGGTAAGAAGTAAGGAAGCCGTTAGAAAGCCTGCTTCCTGACAAATATCGTCAGCTTTTTTCTGACAAAATAAAGCCACTTTTGCACTTCGGCTAGAGCGAAAAGAATCCTGTTACAATCGTAGGAGATGAAACATTTCGGTCCATCTCCGGAATGACAACGATGGACGACGATCCGAATGAATGATGTCTGCGAAAATGTTGTGTCCCGACTGTCTATGAGTATTTTTTGTGTACAAAAGATTGGATATCTGAAAGATATAAAGAAAAAGAAAAAATGCGTTAGAAAACTGTGTTATACTAATTATTTGACGCTAGCTTTTACCTGCGTTAATAATTTATTTTTATTTTATTATGGACTAGCGACCCGCCGCAGTTTCATCATCATCATCATCAGCCTATAAGTGCCCACTGCTGAGCAAAGGCCTCTTCTCACACGGAGAAGGTTAGAGCATTAATCACTACGCTTGCTCAATGCGGGTTGGTGATTTCAAACCTATAATTAGAAATTATAAGTCCAGGTTTCCTCACGATGTTTACCTTCACCGTATGTCAGTGGTGTCTAAATAATCATAGAAAGTACATATAACTCGGAAAAAGTCACATTGGTACTTGCCAGGTTTCGAACCCGCACCCTCATGCATGAGAAGCGGGCGCCTTAACCTCCGGGCCACCACGACGCCGCAGTTTCGCACGGGTGCAATGCTGACAATAAATTTCTCCTCAATTTAATTGATATTATTTTACGTAACTATCCCGCCTCTTTAATCACTCTATTAAAAAGCGCATCAAAATTCGTTGCGTAGTTTTAAAGACTTAAACATACGTAGGGACGGAGATAGTAAAACTATCATTGTTTTATACTATGTAGTGAAGCTTATTTCGTTCTCATTACTCTCTAAATTAATGCATAACTTGAAGAAAATTTATGAATTAGATGAAATAAAGGCATAACTAACAATCTTTCCCATTTGGCATTTATTATAATGTTTATTAGGAAAAGAATTGGTCTTGTAACTCCTCGGGTATTGCAAGTGTTCATTCATGGTGCTATTTGCTTATCTTCAAAGGATTGTGAACAACAATTCCAGGGTTTACAAAATCATTTCCCGATCTATAATCATCATAAAGACGAAAATAACCACTTCTTTGTTCATTTTTATTTTACACTAGCGGCCCACCCCCGCTTCGCACGGGTCCAACTATCTCACTAACAATAGAACCCTTTTCCCCCCTTTCGCCCAATATCCCCCCCTACTTTTTAAATATTTTCTTTCATAAGAACCTTCTCCTTACAACAATAAATACAAAACAAAAGGATTTGGCAAAAACGGTCCAGCCGTTTTTGAGTTATGCGCTTACGAACACATTTTGCGATTCATTTTTATATTTAACGTAGTTATTTTGTGTAGGTATATCCAAAACAATCCTGTATGATTACGTATATTAGTTCAACATGCCCTGTCTTTCTATGTTTCGCCAAATTTGTCGTGGTCGGTGTGGTTAGTAGAAATTGCCATGTGGTTTTCAGTTGGTATACTGCAATACAAATAAGTACATGTTTAAGACTAATATGACATTGGTTTAATATCGTGCTAATGTTTAGTTAGTAGCATAATATTAATGAGTATCATTTATAGTGATGTGTTCTTTGAGGTTATTATTTGATTTGGTACAAGGAGCAAAATGCAAAGTATTATTGTTTAAAAATAAATTTAAACCTAAAGACAGTGCAAAAGAAAACACATTTCGATATTTTTAACGCCATCGTTATTACTCTACCACTACAAATTAATTCCACCGAACCAACTTCCAACTTCTGTTAATAACCAATTACAACAATTCATACAATTGCACTCAGTTCCTTAATTGTCCTTGATAATTCCACAACGGGACCATTTCCACGGACCATAAATTCCTAATGATGGCTAGTTAGAGACGTGCTTTGAATTAAGTACTTTTTTCTTTTTATAATTTACTTATTAATTGCTTGAGTTCACTAAGTGAGATGAATGGTTTGATATTTGTAAATTGAGGCTTATTTTGATAGTTTACCACGATAGGCTTGTTTTGTTTTTTATGTATTCATATTAGTTGTACTTTTTTGTACTAAAACTTGTCTGTGCCATGGCGGCACAGTAGCATAAATTTATTTATATGTTTTTTTTAGGAGGGAAAATCATCAAATTATTTTGACTCCTCCTACCTTGAAATTAGCGGGAAGGAGTGTCAGACTCTTACCGACTAAAAACCCTTCTTCTACTCCAGGCCGAGGGTGTAGTACCTGATTGCGCTTGCCGCCACCCCGGCTAAACATCAGCCCTGTAGGGCCCTATCTGTAGTGGTCTATTGTCTCATTGAGGTTCGCATGGAAATTCTTTCTCTTCCTGCACCACACTACAACCCGCCTGTTAACACTACCTAGCTTAAAATAAGCTCAAATCTATGTCAAAAAAAACAAGTTTACAAGTTATAAATTATTTCATTCTATTTTAGGTATTAAAGTCTACAATGAAGTGAGTGAGAGAGGATACCGGTATCTACTTACTAAATTAAGTGATGAAAACGTGACGAGGCGATGTCGTAACAATGTAACTATAAAAAAAATGAATTTATTTCTGAAAATAGGCCAAAAACTTTTATACCTCAAAAACACAAAGGACACCAATTGCAAGCGGGTAGTAAATACCCATAATTTTGCAGGGGATTGTCAATGTTGAATAAAAAATCAAAGTAAATATGATATAACTCTGCATCAACATAATTATAGGATTTATATTTAAAACAGTTTTAAACTGAAGAGAGAACTGAATTTAAATTCTTGTTAAAAATTTGAATTATTTTCAAAATACCATAATAAAGCAACGATAAGCTGACTCTTTTTACGCAGTACTTTATAATAATTAAACGACCAACAGTACATAATTAATGTCTGTTTCGTCATTTTCCTCTTAATAATACTTTCATTTCAGATCGCTCACATTTTCATTTTAGTTATGTATAGGAATGATTCAGTGCGAGTATATTCATTAGTGAAAATGGTATCTACGAATGTAGTTTCAATATGAAAAAGTCTACATACACCTTTCAAATAACAAGAGATTCTATAGTAATATTTAATCTTAGATTTTATTCGTTGTAAACAAATTTCCAATTCAAAAATCTGTAATAAAAAAATGAATAGCTAAATGCCAAACTAAGCGTTAATATCGAGAACAGCTAAACTGATTTCGTTAATTCTTTTTTTTGTGTTTATAATTGTAGGGTAGTTTAGGATAGGGGTAAAGAAGGGAAGAAGAAAGAAGGCAAGGAGGAACGGCATCAAAGTCGCAAGCAAAAACTAGTAAACAAATAAATATAACTAATTATATTACGTTTTAAAACCTCAGCGGACAAGGATGCCTATCAAGGAGGTTTTGTAAAAAGAGTCCTAATTAAAACTTATGTCTGTTCGTTTTAATAAAGTGTAAGCCTAGACAAAGTGTAGTGAAAGTAATTCTAATTTATCGCGTGGCTGAGTGGAAGGAGAGAAAATATACCGGAGGCTATTCTTTACCTTGCGCACAAACTAAGACAATGTTGCAACATTGTTTACCAGATGTACCTATGATTGATAATCATGATTATCATATTTATGTAAAATTAATTCAAATGTTTTTTTTTTATTCTTGTGAGAATTAAAAAAATATTGACATTGTGTTTTGAATATTTTTGTTTGGTTTTTAAAGTGTTAAATTATATTCCAATTTTATTCATTTATTGTTCCTAATTTAAAAATAAAAAACATGTTGTAAAAATACCATCTATCTAATATATATTGTATATACTTGTAATAAATCTGTAGTGAGGTCAATTCTGTAAATTAAATATATTTTTAAAATAACGACCAGGGGGTAATAAGTGATCGATGCTGATGCCAAATGCAACCAGTAAATTTTTTGTCTGTCTGTCTGTCTATCTGTATGTTCCTTATACAAACAAAAACTACTCGACGGATTTTAACAAAACTTGGTACAATTATTTTTATAGAGCAGTGAAGGGAAATGTTGGGAAAACGGGAGAGGGTATTCCTTTTTAAGTTGCCGTCGCGTGTGTAGCCTTAATGGTTAAAAGTACATAGAAATTATGTATGACGAAAATATTCTACATAAAATTATCTAAAAAAAGTTTTACAACATATATCTATCTTTTATGGTTAACTCACAATAGCACGTATAACTCTTGATAGCTTAGCGGTTCAGATAATAAGCCATTGCGCCGTCGGATGTGAACACTGAATTATGCTATAAGGATTATTTTTGTGTAACGGTTGCTGCGCTTGACGCGACGCGGTTTAAAATAAAATATAATATAATAGGTTTTATGAAATATTTGTAATAATTACCTATTAGTTAGGTCCGTGCCATTCTATCTATGGACGGACGGATATCGGAGACTTAGTAAATTAAAGATGTTTCCATAAAAATGAGACGATTAATAACAAATTTTATGTATACTTCGATTTTGTTCTATTGGCTGTTTTTATCAACACAGCACGCGGGCGAAGCAGCTGGCGGAAGCTAGTGCTTAAATAAAATTTCGAATTTTTAACTAGATGTTTCGAAACTTGGATTATGCAAAAGAAAACCGAAAATCGGTTACATAGAGCTTCGATTCTGATGCCAAAACATTATTCAGATAGCGACCTGAAGCTGCCAATATCTAAAAGGCTAAAAGGCTGCAAGTCAGAGGATTTTTGTTCTTCTATTTGAGTAGCTTTCAGAGTCATTTTATGTTCATTTAGCTGAAACACCAAAGTATTGTGCAGGTACAAAAGGCAATTTTTTTTTCTTTCGTATTCATTTACAGAAATGTATTTGAAAATCTGAATTAACATTTAGAGTAACTCATCGTGTATTCAGTTTAAGATTTGTCCTCAAAAGAATTTTAACACCTTTCCTTCTTAATCACATTTTTATTTAAGCATTCATTCCTTTCAAAGCATGAAATGGAGTACGTTAAATATAGATAAAGGATGAAAGTTACCTTCTGAATCGCAAATGGGACTTTTTAGAAGAATATAAGAATAAAAGAAAATAATAAAATTTGAAAATGAACTAAAAATATTTATGTACCATGTTTTTCTGACAGGGACTCTGTTAATGACAAATTTCATGTATAATAACAAAAAATTACAAGAAAACCTTATTTTTTCAAAACAAGGAACATAGAAATATTCGACATGATTCTTAAGACATATATACATACATATAATATCAATGCTCCCAAATAACTTTTATAGCAACGGACTGCCTCTAGCATTTGTCATTATTTCGTAAAAATGTTAATGACAAATTTCATATAGAATAACAAAAAATGTCAAGAAAATATTATTTTGTCAAAAAACTGAACATAGAAACATTCGACATGATTCTTGAGACAGATATATAATATCAATGCTCCAAAATAACTTTTGTAGCAACGGACTGCCTCTGGCACTTGTCATTATTTCGTAAAATTGTTTTGTCCAGACATTGTGTGCTTTACAAGATAAGTTTACATTGTGTTCATAATTTTGTTTCCTCTTGAGATTTGCATTTTATATTACTGTCTAAAATATATTTTTGTCTTGTCTTGTTAAAAATCGACGTTGCCTACGTGGAACGCTAAGTAACATTTTAAAGTGAGTGCCTCATGATTATTTAATTGAACTTTGAAGGATCACTAAAAACAATATTTTTTTTTTAACTTATTACTACCTATGTAACAAAATGAAAATCAAATAAATCTTTTTTCTTTAAAAAAAGGTGCTGAATTTCCCTGCATGGAAGGTGTAAAGACAGGGTATGGCAGCGTCTTTCGGACTACCAAAACTACCCCGTTCTTTCTCCTACCTCAGCCAGAGGCTGCGGTAAATTACTGCGCTTGATCGACTTGCCCGCTTAAACATCAGCTGTGTCGCTCGCGGAACGTTACGCTCCTTACGCTCGTGTCTGGTTCTGGTTGGGCAGCGAGCTATCCTTACTCAGCGACCATAGATATAGATAGACGCTTGCAACGGCGAAAAAATAACACAACTAAAAGCTGGACCTTATTCTATGAAATATAATAAGGTCCAGCATCCACATTCATATCACCATTCATGTTATTTGGACTTGATTCTTGCCAGTGATTTAAACAGCTGTGGAAACAATAAAATATTTTTTAAACTAAGCAAAGGAAATTATCGTGAACATTTGTATTTTATTTAATTAAATAAAACTTACTCATCATTGTTTAAAATGTCCGAATGAAGTTAAGTTCTTCATTTGTTTTAATTACACCATATTTTTATTGTTAGTATACTTTTACAAACTGAATATTATTTTCCCGGGTCGATGTTGATGTCTTTGGCAACAACTGCAATCACCAAATCGTCATCTAGATTTTAGAAAAATATTTATTCGAATTCGATTTAGACGTATCCGGGTTGATAATAAATAATGAAACAAAATGATTTCTTTCTATTCTATTATTTAAAATTAGTAGTGTTTAAACAGAGTCAAGATGCATCATTTTAACCAACGTATTGGGCAATCAATCCCCAGTTTTCATTTGCTCAGCTGTTTTATGATGTTAAGGTATAAATGTATCGACCGCTATCGAACCAGACTTACAACCAGTTCTTTATGCTTCAGTTCACCTATTGGTTTTCGGATCCAGAAATAGACCTTAGCCAATTTTGGGGTTACGGTTCGTAGGTCAGTATGGGTCTTATCGATTTTAGATTTCAAGTTCAAGGTTTAAAGAGTATTTTACATTAACTCTAGAATTTTCCCAGGACTTTAGAAATTAATTCTAGAATTTTCCCAGGACTTAAGAAATTTTAACTTAGCAGCCTTAATTTCTTGAGAATTGGAAATTAAGACGGAAAAACATTTATATATTCTTGTATAAGTTTGAGTAGTTCCATTGGATTTGAGCTTATTAAAATTACACACTCCATGGATATTGTTTATATTTTTTGTGGAATGTTTTGCAAAGCATGCATCATCCTCCTATCCTATCCACCTTGTTGTTATGTTTCCAACTCCTCATATATAAGTATTACTTATTTTATTAGAAAATAAGATTTTTATACAATCATGGGCCAGTTTTTCAATGTGTAGATATACAGTATATTTATATAAGTGCAGGGTCTACTGCACAAGCTTTAATGGTACTTAAATGTGTGTAGATAGCGAAACACACCCTAACAACAAACACAATCATGTATGTGACACCTCAGAAGGGCCAGACTCACATATAACGCCAACAAAATTGACGTGGTAACATCTAACGTGTTCATCTTTATAAAAGCCATGTTAGCCAACACCAAATATGAAGCGTATTCCAGACTCCGTACTGCTAATAGGATTTTGGATGCATTAAGCAAAAATTTATAATTATTTTTTTTCCTTAACAGGTATCATCAGATGTTTAGAGATGTTAAACCTGTCACCATCGAGTTATCGCAACGTTGATGCGAGCGAAAGAACAGTGAACACCAAGAAAATATACTCGCGACGGCCGTGGTACGCACCGAAAATAGGACCGCAGGAAATATTGAGAGCAGGTAAGACCATAGAGAAAACTATAGCAGGTCAGACTGCGATTTTGGTTTAGTATTTAGGATACAGTGTAGTAGTAATACAGAGAATAGTTCTTTAAAATCAGGAAAGAAGGACCAGGCGTAGTGATCAACCTGGCTGGCTGACCTGGCGGACTGCCTTACAGTTCTATCTTGAGGTTTTCTATCCGTGTTTATAGCGCGCCAACTGCACTTGCACGATATATGATTTGTGACGTCATCCGTGAAATATTGAAGTCGATCATTTATGAATGACGGCACGTATTTGTTTCATAAAATGTCAGTCATGCTTCGGCGCGAATCGGCCAGTTTTACCAAAGTGATACCAAGGTCTTATTACACAAGGGCGTGAAACGTGTGGTTATAGAAAGTCCAATCCTTCCTGTCCCATATTAATCCCTTGATTCCTCAATCCTCAAATTCCAAGCCAAAAGGCCAATGCTTCCTCTGCTTATTTGTTAAATCGCATAAAAATGAAATTTAAAGGAATATGTGCATAAGTGCTCTTCAAATTTACTGCCTGCATTTTGAAAGAGACATCCCAATTGAACTGTTTCTAGACGTCCTTGTTTTTGAGAATTGATTTGATTTTATATTACAAAGTCAAGAGAAAACATATAATTTTATTGATATACCTAAAATTTCCTAACACAAGGTTATAAGTGGCGTTTGAGAAAAGAGGAGTTTTCCAATTTTAAACTTATTCTGCAATGGAAGCTTTTTGACCTTTTCCAACTAGCTCTATATTTGAGTCTATTTACGACGATGACAAAATGTCGACTATCGAAATCTAGGACATAACGGTTGTTTGGATTTATTTATACCTATTTCGAATCATTTTAGCAGAAGCATTTACACTACTAATACACACTACATCTTATAAATATCGGATTCTAATTTTAAAAAGAAGTGGGATGCTTATTCTTTTCCATTGTGGATATTTAAAAAAAAATATACAGACATCGGTAAATAAAAAGAACTTATTGAACAAATTGTTCATTCATTAAAAAAACACGCCTGCAAAATATTTTTTTGCAACTGGAAGAACCGCAAACGAAAGCAATAATACGTCTACAATATTAATTTTAAGGTAAAAAAATTACGCTTATTCTCTACTTCATAGTAACACAACACAACTTACACATATCTCTATATATTTATAGTTATACCAGACGGATTACCTGATAATAAGCAATTGGCGCCGCCCATGGAAACCCTTCAAACCAGAAAAGTCACGAGTTCATTGCTGGCTTTTTGGGGAATAGGGTTTTAAATATTAACGGATTGGGATGGGGAAGGATTGGGCCTCCGGTAATATTACCTAAGGGGCGAAACGAAATGTTGATGTTTCATGAAAATTATTGGGTAACGAAAATTTTTCATTAATATTCATCGTTGAATATTCTACTGATAGATACTAATACTCATCACCATTTTTTACTATCTGAAGGAAAAGATTGTAGGTATATCTAATTGGGTATTCCCAACCATTCAATAACCAATTAGGTTACGAATCCCTCGAACGTCTTTCATACTGCTGCTCATTTTTATAATTTTCCAAGACCAGATTCGAATCTAATTTCTGGGTCTTCGAATTTTAATTCAACGCGGATAAAAAAGTGATTGGTTTTTAAAAATGAATGTAAGAGAATGTTGATTTTAATAAAAAAAAGAACTATATTTCTGGCCATGAAATGGGAAAATCTGATTGATTCCGAGAAAGTTCCGTATTCCTTTTTTGAGTTGTCTCGTTAAAGTAAATAACATTATAAAGTTTAATAGAGAGAGGGAATAATATTTCTCAGAAGCCAGTTACAGGAATACATGGATTACAGGTTCTATAAGCTTTTAGCGAGTATTATAATAACATTTCAACTTACATTAAGATATTGAGAAATCATGAATAGAGAAATTAGAATAGTGAATTATATAGACACAATACGCACATATCAATTAGAGTCAGGCGAGCGTTGGTACATAATAAATATACTATGGTACTCGGTGTATGTGACCATTTACACTATTGATTGGCGTAAGTAGATTTTGTATAGAGGATTATTTCCAGTTTGGTTTCACCTTCTGCTTCTAACTACTAACTTGAAGAGAATATAATAGAAACTGAACAAACTGGTGCACATCAAACCTTATCCAACTTTTTCAAAAAATGAAGAGGGAAAGCAAATCCTTGGAAAACAATAGTACTTAATTTCCGTATTATAACTACTACTTCTAAAAATATAAATTAAAATATTTATGTTTTTAGTATAACTCGACCAGTTTCAAGCCTCACTGAGGGCTCATATTCAAAAGCAGCATTGCGCGACACGAAATTTGGCGAATATTGTGTCGACGTGAATCAATGTCAATATAATAAATCCTTTTTCTGATCTCGATAGCAAATCAGAGACTGAGCTACGGAGATTAGGCTTTGATTGCGGATTTCAAACTTATTATTTATTTATTTATACTTTAACCTTTCAATGGTGATCAAGAGCTGATTTCCGCCCACCGTAAGCGCGGGTCTGCGGACGGCGAGTAAGGGAAGCTCGCCACCCGACCAGAACCAGACCCGAGCGTACGGCGCGTAGCGTTCCGCGCGCGCCTCAAAAAGCCAATAGACTACCACAGAGGGGGCCCTATAGGGCTGATGTTCAGCAGGGGTTGCGGGGTAAGCGCAATGAGGCACCGTGACCTCGGCCCAGACTAGGAGAAGGAACGGGGCTTTTTTTTAGTCAGTAAGAGTCTGACACTCCCTCACGCCCTACCCTGGGCGGGAGAAGTCATTTGATGAATCACAAAAACAACCTTTCAATGGTGGTGAACACAATAGAAGTACGCAAGCACCGGAGTTCGCTTAAGGTTTGCTGAATTAATGCACACATGATAGACAAAGGCAAACTTAATGTCATATGACTTATGGTATTTTGTGGTAATTTAGGAAGCCTAGCTTTGCTAGAAATAAACACTTAGTTTTATGTTGCAATAGATTAGGTCATATAGTAATCACCAACGAATGAAGTGCGTACTCTAACATCGACCGTAATATTGGTTCCACGCCTACATAATTACAAATGAAACTGGAATTGTTAAATAGGGCTGTAGCGTCTTTTTATTTATTTAACTTTCACCAAAATTAACTTTTGTTTTTTTTTTACAAAACGTTGCTCCATTTTAGGTTGCCCTTTGTCGTGGGTGTGGTTATAAACATACAATTTCACATACACATGACACCCAGGCCCGGAACAACAATTTGTGGACACACAAACAGTGTTGTTCCGTGCGGGAATCGAACCCGCAACATGTTGCACGACAGCCAGTTGCCCAGCCACCGCACTAACTGTGCAGTCAAATAATATAAGTCAAAAAATATAAGTTTATTCTTTATACACAGTTTGAAACATCTAAATATTCGAAATGGATGCAGGTTAAAAATACCGCTACCAAATTCTACCTGATCTAGTTGTAGAATCTTATCATCGATCAATTGTCGAATGTTATACTTGATAGTTCGGCATACATGCTACAAGTACTAGTTCACCAAAACGCTCTGAACAGGGTACCTTTGATTGTAAACTTTGAAATTGACATTGTAAACATGATAATGACCTTTGTGACGTCACAAATTCGAAGAGAAGTGGGAGCTTTGCAATATTTCACCTACACCTACACTTTAATGGCTATGACGTCACAGTTTGTATCGCCTGCCCCTCTTGTGTTACTTCACAGTTGTCACTTTTGTCAAATTTAGATTGTTCGTAATGTTACGTAGTTTGTACATAACTTATTTTCTTTTTTATTAATACTAGGCAAGTTTTTGAATTAATATCTTAACCAGCGATATCAGCACGTCGATTCTATAAAATTTGTTTGATTTTGAATCGTGTTCGAGTGCGAAGCGAGCGTCGAAGTGACGGGTAAATTAAATTTTAGAATGCCACTTTTAACGTCATCTCATACTTTATCTATCAAAATGTTGCTGTCAATTTAGTTCAACTCGCAAGTGTAGCGCTAGTGTACTACTACCTACTACTCACGGTGGATTCAGATTCGAAGTTTAGAATGAAGTCTTACAGAATCACACTGCAGGGAGAACATAGGGCATATTCCCACAGATGTTATAAGACTCAACCATACATCATTTCTGCACCCTCATCTTGTTAAACGTCGCCATGATATAATATCCAGCTCAGAGTAAAAAAAAGTAACGAGGTGTTGCTTAGTCTGTAAAACTCTGGCACTTAGTATAGGAGATTTCAATGGTAAATTTTTTAGCCCCCAAAAAAGCATAGCTTTTAAACCCTAATGCACACGCGCTTGATGATCATCTCAAAATCCCAATGGTACGTTGAGAGTTTTGTTACTATTAAAAATAAAATAAAGTTAACATCCCTATTTACCCTAGCACAAACACAACAAAACAAATAGCAGCCTGTTATTGCCTACAGGTCTCATTAAGTCCTAGTTTGTGACGTCACAAATTCATTCTAACAACTGGAATTACGCGTCATTTTCACAGTCACGTTGGTACACAAAAGGGATTAGTAACGATAATAATTTTGGACAAGATATTAGTATTGTTTGAAGGCCATGTATACATCTGGGTGGGTATTTATTTAATACTTGAATATTGGGGTAGGATGAGATACGCAGTCGGTTTATAGGTTATAAGTAATTTCATTAGATAGTGTAAATATTTATGTCTATGGTACTGCCCTTGGAGTAGTTCGGTTTCTCGGTTATACAAATTTGTCTAACATGGAATCACTACAACGTGTGTAAAGTAGCTTACAGTAGGATCTCAGAAAGAAAAACTTCAAACAGTTGCGGATATTCAAAAAGTATCAACTATTTTAGTAAATCTTCTTATTAAGACTCCACTTCCAGCGTTATCCTTATTAGTCAATACTCGTCTTTGTGTAGGATTTTCTCAAGGTAACTAAGGTAAAGAAAGTTTTGTCTAGATTTCATAGGCTAGACCTAAGTTG